TTAGAAGGCCCCCAGGGGGCATGCAGCAGTGGCATGGAGACGCTGGGGGCATTTCCGGTTTTGCTGCCAGCGCTTCTGGGTTTGCCACTGCACACGGGGGACCCCCTCCCCGCCACTCATCCATTGACTGCTGGGGGATCCCCTCCTCCCCACTCATCAACCGGCCAGGGGTTGATTGGCCGCTGGGATACACCAACCAAAAAAGGTTGAAAACCCCTGCATTGAATATTGACCAACTGGGACATTTAACAGGATAACCTTTATTTAACTTCAGTGATGATTAAAAACAGGTTCTAATTTTAGTCTACAAATTTGATTAACGTGAGAAACAAAATTTAACAACAAATAAAACTTACCTGATAAAAATTTGGCCAAAAGGTGCTAATTGCCAGTTCTGCTCTATTCCAAGTGCTAGTAGGAACTCCAGATGTGTTCCAGATGGGGTTACCCAGTGGACCATCATTGACCTTCACATACACATTCAGTGTACCAGGGCTGGAGCCACTCTTGCTTGAAACATAGTGGTGGAAATCAATGCAGTGTGTGTCATTTTCTTTAAGGTGGGGTAGTAGGAGGTGAGCATTTTGTCCAGCAAACTTCCCTGAGGTGTTCACTAACATGAAAGAACCTGCAAAATAAACAGCCACAGACTAAGTTACTGTTTTCCTTTCTCCTTCATGCTACCCTAGTCCCCATCAAAACATGCTTGCAAAATATGGTTATGATTTTGCTTTTGTTCTAATAATGGCAATGAAGGAAATTAAATAAGCCTTTCGCATCCAAAGACCTCAAGGTCCTTTTGTAAAGGTGAAAAGTGTTATCATAGACATCTTACAGGTGGAGAAACTGAGGCACAAAACCATGCAGGGAGTCCATGGAAGCTAAAAACAGAATCAGATCCAGAGTTTTAACTTCAGTGGGAGCCATGTACATCCTAAGAGTGAGATAAAAGATCAGACATAAAAGTCTCCTTATTCCCAGGCCTCTTGTGACTGATGAATGCTGACTTCTATCACTCGACCTTCAGCTATATCAAGGGTCTGGAGAGAGAAACATCTGACATGCCAATTCAGCATTAACAAGCAGCTTTAGTTCGAATTTCTAAAGAAATGTATGAATTAATTAAAAAAAAACCAGATGACTAAAATTTATACTCAAAGTGATTAAAACAGCATTCACTTGTACTTAATCAAGCTGCAAAAATATTCTTAATTTTATCAGTGTCTACAACTTCACTTCATATTCACACACATTTGAAGGAAATTAGCTAACAGATGAATGGATAAAGAGGCTGTAATCGCTGCACCGCTATCTGATTAAAATGATAGGAAACGATTCTTATGGAACTCATATTCCTTGAGAACTTAAACCCACAATGAAGACTTGTCTACTAACATTTATATTATTTGCTATGATGGACTTAAAATCAGATTGAGTTAATATCTTCATCTGAAGACAAATTAACAGAATCCTTAAATTACCTTAAGTTCTCTATTTTCCAAAAAATTGACCATAAATGTGCTGTCAATACCAGTAGGCAGCTGGCCAAATGATTTCATAAAATGGAGAAATTTTTTTAAACAACATGAGAAAATTCTGTGCAACTTCCATTAAAAATGACTTGTGCAGTTAGCAGCCTAATTCCCATTGCCACCTGAGTTAGAGCGAGATCTAGACTCCTAAGTGCTTATAGCTTTTTAAAAAAAATAGCCATTAAGCATTAACAATGAACATTTTAAAAGTATTAACCCAGACTTTCCTAATTCTGTATCTTACACAGATTTTAAAATTAAGGAACATTTTCTCAGTTATGCAAAAATATTCATTAAAGCAAAAAGTCCTTGAATCATTTTCCTCCTATAAAACAGTTGTCAAATTTGTTAAAACTGACAGTTAGCTGTGATCATGAGGGATTTTAACTGCTCGTGCTATTGATTACTAAACCATTAGTATGACAACTGTGTAATACTAAATATTGTTATGGAATGGGCTAAATCCCATTTCCTACTCCCATGAGTCGAAGTCACTGGAATTATTCCGTGATTAAAATGAGCAAAGGTTTAGTCTACACAATCTTTTCTAATTAATTAAACTTATATGATCAAGGATTCCTAATATTGTCTTTTAATATTCATAAAGATGTTTTTAATCCATTTTTAATTTGGCAGAAAAAAAAATAACATTCTTTCTAGCACTCACTATTCTATCAAAAATCCATTTTTATGACTCACAGATTATACTGTAGTCAAATCCTTTTATGCACACACCGCTGTATCCACAGCTCTTTTGGGCTGCTCCACGGGCCCAAATACTTTATCGTACAGCAATATGTCTATAGCTGGGAATGGAGAGAAGCACTGCACTACACGAGCAACCAGGAAGTATTTCCAACGGGCATAGGTGGACTGTCTCTGGCCTCAATATGGGAGCACAACAAACAGTGCTTTCTTTTGGTTTGTACTTTGTCCCAGTGTGCACTGGTGCCTCAATTCAGAAAGCACAAGTGAGAATACAGTCATTTTCATGAATCAAGAAGGGAAGGCTCCAGCCTTCTCTCATGCATAGAAAGCAAATCTGTAGCATTCAATTTTATCCCCCATTTAGAAAGGATGATTTGTTTATAATTATCAATTTGGTTTTTGTAATTTTATGTATATGAATGTTCAATATAAGCATATATTTTGAATTAAGTGGCTGTTGCTCACTTTTTGGCTGGAATCTTGAAGTGAAAATAATTATTGGGTAGACATATCCCTAAACAGGTAGGCCTTGTTTATTTTTGATAGCACATTCTCCTCATGCGTATACCATTGAAGTACTGAGTGAAAATCAAGAAGCACATAAATGGAAGAAAGGCAATTTTGAAAACATATCCCATTGTTTTCAAATCCAACCATATGAATTGTTGTTTAAAACAGATGGGAGGGAAATTTGTTTTCTTACTACCTAGTAAGAAATTTTCATCCTGTCAGAAGCCAGCATGTATGCTATGCAGTTCAATTTACACGTAAGAATATTCAAATACAAGACCTTTGAGGGAAAAAATGATTATCATGTCTTAACTGGCAAAAAATTCTTTAAAAATGTTCATGGGTTACATTAACAAAATAATTAAAAATAAACAGAGAGCCTTTTTTTTTATGTCCTAACATTGATAATGTGGCAGAGAAAAATAATCCTTATTTTCTTATATAATCATTTTTAAAGTTCACATATGTATTCTTATAACAATACGCCATACTTTTTACATACAAGTGTTGATAAGAACAATTCAAAAAATATCTACAAATATAGTAGAAACACTGTTTTTCAAGACTTGAATTAATAATTTAATGTTACAGGATCTGAAATATATGAAGTCATCAGTAGGCTTAAAAAAAAAGAGATACTGACAACCCATCTTGAAAAAGAACCTCTTGTTAAAAGGGAAAAACTAAGCATTAAGGAACTTCCCAGTAAACAGAAGAAATCCTGTGGGTTCCATTTAGAAAACTGATGCAATTCTCTTTTACAAGGGAAATGAATCTTTAATGAGAACTAAATTAAGTTACAGCATGTGATTTAGTTGTTCTGCTAGAAAGTATTCAGCAAGTTCTATTAATTTATGAGGCAAAACATAGCTGAGCATAAAGTAAATGCAACCTTTTAATTGTTTGATTAAACTAATGGTGAATGTCAAGAAACGAGATACAAGTAGAATGATGGAGTCACTACTTTAGATAAGTCCTTAAGGGATGACTCAAATTTTCTACATCTGAAGTTCTTTTTGACTGACCAATTTGAAAGCTGAAATCTTCTGTATTCTAAGGTCTGCAATGGTGTATTGCAGTATTGCATGCACTCAAAGAAAATTTTCTGTAGATTCATGGAACTGAAACTCAGAAGAGACTTTTAGATCATCTACTGTGACTTGGTGTAATCAGAGGCCTTTAATGCTACACTAAACATAAAAACATCTGTTTTGCTAAGTAGATTTTCCAGAAATGCATCTAGCACCAGATCCAGTAAAGAGCTTTGGCCCTTATCAGTTGAGTGCCCTAATAGCTAAATTTTAGGTTCTGGCTCCAAAGTACAATCCAAAAAACATTTGTCAGCCACCTAAGTTTTCTAAACAAGACCTTGGAAGAGTTAGGTACCTCAGGAGGTCAAGCAAAAGCTGTCCACATACTGACCAAGGAGCCACTTAGGCTAGGGACAGACTTCAAAAAAGCCTAAGCCTGAATTAATTCAATCTTTCCAGGTTAGTCTAACCTAGCTAGGCTGAACTGGTTTGAAACTGGACAGACGATCGATCTCTCTGGACAGATGAAATTCAGACACATGCCTGCAGTGGCTCAGGCTAGAAGCTGGAGGGTGCTAGAGCAACCCTCCGTTCCCTTCCCTTTGGCAGGGAGCTGAGCTGAGGGGGGCATGGCCAGGTCGTGGCAGGACTCTCTCATTAGGGAGGTCTGCTTGTATGGTCCCAGACTTTTCCCCACTGGCTGCTTAAGTGGTGGGAGTGTTGCCAGCCCCAGCCCTGGACTAGCACTGAGGCAAGGGAGAATGTGGGGGGAGTTGCGGTGCATGCATCTGTTGATGATACAGAGCTTTTCAATCTCCCTCCCTGATACAGAGCTTTTCAATCTCCCTTCCTGCCTCATCATACTGTCTGCAGCAAACTGACAGGCAAGCAAGCCAGCTGAGGGCTGATAGTGATAACAGTCTTTATCACCCAATTAGCAAAACAATGGCTTCTCTCCATTACTTCAAACTTCTTAAACAGCTTACCAGCTGACCTGTTGATTAGCTCCACACAGCCCTAAGCAATCACTGTTCTGTCTGCCTGTCCCAGTGAAATTGAAGAGAAAGATGCACAGACACCTCTCAGCATCAGACAGCATACCACATGCCTAGGGTCCCTGGAGCTGCGGTCCCTGCTGTGGAAGATGGGAGGAAGGGAGGGGGGGATTTCCTGCTTGAGGAGCAAAGGGGAGGGGGGTAGAGGGCAGGGGGAAGGTAAGCACACCCTGCTGTGTTTGCAGTCTCTGCTGGAGCCTTACACAGCATTAGCTAACTTACCACATGCTGGCTATGGTCCGTGCTGTGATAGAGAGGAGGAAGGGACCCCTTCCTTAAGCAAGGAGTTGGGGGCGGGGGGAGCAAGGCACAGAGAAGACAGCAGACCCTGCTGTGCCTGCAAATCTGACAGAGCTCTGGCCAGGGAACAGAGGCGAAGGGCCACCCTGCTGTGGAGAAGAGAGCCCTGCCCAGTCCAGAGAGCATGCTGAGATTCAGGGGGACTCTGATTTAACTTAAACCAGCAAAGAGTCTGGGACAGACATTGCATAAACTGGTTTGACACCAAATCAGTTAAGTCTGATACTACATTCAACCAGGTTTATCTCAAACCAGTTTCAGTCATTTTCAAACTGGTTTATGTGCACTGAACTGGTTATGTTCTGTTACAGGTTTAAACCAGTTACTGATCACTGAAACCAGTTTATGTGTAATGTCTATCCCTATCCTTAAAGTTACCACATTCGGCATTCTGCAGTTAGCTTGTAAGGAAACACTGAAAACTGGGGTATATCTTGAATCTTGCTCCTTTCTGTGGTTAGATGTGGTTATTCAGAGCTGCAGGGGGATGTT